CACCCACTATACCACTTGTGGAAGTCTTTTATAGCTCAAGTCTCATGTCCGTGATGAAACTTGCTCCAAGCCCTTGACCTTTCCTTTTCTGAACTCACACTGCACTCCACAGCATGCCATTTAGCGCCTAACCCTTCTCCATTAACATACATCTGCTCTATCTGCTCAAAGGACCGATGTCAGCACCTGGTCTGTGGGGCTGGCCATGGACTTTTTCCATGGCCTCCAGGACTCAATTGTACCAGGCATGGAGGAGGCACTGAATGTTTATTTTACTGATAGAGAAAAATAAACAGGACAACACCAAAGCTCTGTGGCCTTACCGTGGGCTGACTGCCTCTCCACCCAGGCAAGCAGGTTTACCCTGCAACACCTCCTGGGGCCACATGACCACACCTGCCTGGTTCTCTCTTACTGTTAAACTCCTACAGCCTCTTAAGGCCCATGCCAGCCCCTTCCCTGACAGCCCCACCCCACATTGAGGGTCCCTTCATCTACTCTTACTCCTTAGCACCCACTCTCTCTGTCACTGCTCTGTCCAATCCGGGAGCCCCATGTGGTCAGTCCAAATGGAGATGTGCTGGAAATGTGAAATCCCTACTGGACTTTTGAGACGTCATACAAAATTAAGAATGTAAAATATCTCATTCATAATTTTTTATTGACTCCAGGTTACAGTGCTAATATTTTGATATATTAAGTTAAATAAAACACATCAATTTTTTTTAATGTTTTAAAATGTAGCTACCAGGAGATTTGGAATTCCCTCCATGGCTTGCATTCGTGGCTCACCTTACATGTCTATTGCACGGTGTTGCTCTGTAGCCTCCATGTTGCTGTTGTTGGATGCTGTCGAGTTGAGTCTGACTCCCGGCGACCCCAGTGACAGAGTAGAACTGCCTCATAGCTTTCTAGGCCAGTGGTACAGTGGTTAAAGCATTCAGCTGCTAACCACAAGGTCAGCAATTTGAACTTACCAGTTGCTGCACAGAAGAAAGATGAGGCAGTCTGCTTCTGTAAAGATTGACAGCCTGGGAAACCCTATGGGGCAGTTCTAATCTGTCTGATAGGGTTGCTATGAGTTGGAATTGACTTGATGGCAGTGGGTTTGGTTTGGGTAGTTTCTACTGAAGGAGATCGTCAAGTCTTTCTCCCGCAGAGCCACTGGGCGAGCTTGAATGGTTAGCAGCCAGGTCCTTACCACTGCACTATCAGGCTCCTTTATAGCCTCTATAGCCTGAGTCAGCTCCAGGCCTGTGGGCTCAGGGAAGGGTCTTAAAGTGGCCGGTAACCTCATTTTACCCAGTGCCTTGCCCTGAACCGTCCCTTTTCTTGTAACGTTCTATTTTCTCATGTAATTGAAGACCATCTTGGTGGTCTAGGGCTTAGTGCAGTGATGGGCTAGAGACCTTCCTCCGTATGACCGCGTAGAGGATGATCACAGAATCACTAATTGCCTCGTCAGAGTAGATGGGTTATAAAAGACACTTGGGTGCTGAGTCTAGCTCATCTGAGGAACCACGTCCATTTATCATGCAGAAAACCAAGCCTGTTGCCCTCAAGTTGATTCCAACTGATAGCGACGCTGTAGGACAGAGGAGAACTACCCCATAGGGCTTCCAAGACTATGATCTTTAAGGAAGCAGACTGCCACATCTTTGTCCCAAAGAGCAGTTGGCGAGTTCAAAACTCTAACTTTTCGGTTAGCAGCCAAGGGCTTAACCAGCACTCCCTTTGGGAATGCCAGGTAGCTGAAAATACACCTAAGGTCATTAACACAATTCCAGTCTAAATCAACCCAATTATTTCTCAAAGTTATTCAAATGTTAATGAAAGACAGTCTGGGACACACCAAGTTTAACCTAATCTGGGGGTTATAAAAGTTCTTTTGAAGATATTGCAAAATAAGCTTTTTAATACTATTGTGCTGCAGGCTTCATTGTGTTCATCAAATTAATAAGAGAAATAATAGGAGAAATAAACTTTCTAACAAAGTTCAGTTATAATATAGATGAGTACTGTCCAATAAAACTTCCTGTGATGATGGAAATGTCCAACGTAGTGGTCGATAACCACAGGTTCTCAGGAGTGCCCAGTCCCTGGAAAAGGACATCATGCTCGATAAAGCAGAGGGTCAGCGACAAATGGGAAGACCTTCAACGAGACAGACTGACACAGTGGCTGCAACAACATGCTCAAGCACAGTAACACAGGACCAGGCACCTGACAACAGCAACAACCACAACCACATGGGGCTATCATTTTGGACAGTGGAACTCTTAAAAAAAAAAAAAAAGTCACCCTAAAAATAGTTTCTCTGTTTCTAAAAGTGGGGAGCTCACGAATAGTAACAAATCTGTACATTTCCATTCTAAGAGATGTTGTTGTTGTTGTTATGTGCCGTCGAGTCGGCCCCGACTCATAGCGAGCCCTCCTTGGGTATCCGAGGCAGTATCACTACGGAAGTAGGATTGCCCAACCTTCCTTCCGAGGAGTGGCTGGTGGGTTTGAACCGCCAGCCGTCTGGTTAGCAGTCAAGTACTTTAGCCACTATGCTACCAGAGCTCCTATTCTAAGAGATAGTCTTTATATTTCATTAAATTAAGAATTTACAGTATTAAATTGATTTTCCTATGGTCTAAGATCACATGCCTATATTTTATTATGTGACAATTAGGTTAAATTTCACCAGATGGTATACTAAGCGAAATTAATGTTCTCTTCCATCTTTGGCAACAGCTGTAGCCTTTTATCTTTATTATATTTCAAATCCCCAAAGTTAGGACTGTCAACAGAATTACCTAATACAAATAACAATTGGGGTTGACAGCCAATGATCACCTGTGGAGAGGGAAAGGAGGAAGGTAAAGCAGAGCCCAGGGCTGCCACGAAACCGCCTGCTGAATTTTCTATGACCTCCAACTGTCCGTTACCCCTTATTCTGCTCCATCTCATCTGAAAAATAGTCCAACTGAAAAATCTAAGGGAGGTACTGAGCCTATGATGATGACAAAGATGCTGCTGATAGTGACAATCGGAGCACTGGAAGTAACTGCCAACATGGGGTGCTCAGTGTGGCAGACACTAGCCAGGAACATTCCACCTTCTGTTCCAATCATCAACACCTTTGGGAAGAACTGTGATCACAAATACACACTGGGCCTTCTCTGGGGTAGTGAGCTTCCAGAAACAATGAGGACTGACTGTCTCTATAATTAAACAGATGAGGGGCATGGACAGTATGCAATTAATGACCCCCAGCACTGACGACTGGAATATTCTGGGTGAAAACACATACGGGCAGTGCATATGTCAAAAGCAAATTCAAACAGTGACTGACACCTGTTTTTCCAAGTGCCTTACAAAACAAGAACATTTTATGAGATGTGGAAAATTAATCAAGTAAAGCATCTACTTTGCCAAACCACTACTTTTCATCTTTTGTCAATGCTAAAAGGAGCTGTAGTGGCATAGTGGATAATGTATCATGCTGCTAACCAAAAGGTCAGTGATTCAAACCCTCTAGCTGAGACTGGGGCGATCTACTTCCATAAAGATTTACAGCCTCAGAAACCCAGTGGGGGGTCGCTATGAGTCAGAATTGATTTGAAGACAGTGAGTTTGGTTTTTGGTTTGGAAAAGGAGGAAACGATCCTAAAGATGTAAGCATATTAGATTTTAGCACTTTAACTTTTAACTTTTGTAAAAACAAAACAAAACAAACCAACTTTAGTAACTAGATAACTATGACTAATTTTTTCCATTTTCAGCTTTAGACCACAATGTACCAGAGTAAGAATAAGACAGAAAGGGTTATAGGATGTGGACATGCCCAAAGGAAGCCACACCCAGCAACCAGAAAATTGTTATGACCTGGGCCAGTTTAGTTTAATGAGGATACAGTCAATGTTGGATGAAATAACATAAACTTAGATTTTATATATATATAGAGAGAGAGAGAGAGAGAGAGGGAGGGAGGGAGGGAGAGAGAGAGCGTACTTTCAAGCCCTCAGATTTAGCTGGATTAGCAATACTAATGAATTCCATTTCTCATGTACTTATGGGATCAAGAGAGTCAACACAAAGAGTAAAAGTTGAGAAACAGACTCTCAAATCAGCCAAATTTGAAAACTCTGCACCATTTGTTTTCAAATAGGGGAAAATATGGAAAATTCCTCTTTAAAAGATATATATAGCCATTTAATTAAACTCTTCTCCCCACCAACACACACGTTATCAGTCTCCCACCCCCATACTCTGAGTAGTTCTTAACCAGAGCGATTGTATCTCCTCTGAGCTTATCTGGCAAAGTCTGGAGATATTTTTGGTTGTTACAACTTGGGGTGGGGTGGGGTGCTACCGGCATCTGGTGGGTAGAGGCCAGGGATGCTGCTCGACACCCTACAGTGTTCAAGACAGCCTTCACAAAAAAGAACCATCAGGCCCCAATGCCAATAGCGCAGCAGTGGAAAAACCCAGATGAGAGATGTAAGGTGTATTTCCAGAAGAGTCCAAGTGAGCCCATTTGCTGGCTCACTTGCTCATCCGAGTTTGCAGCAGAGCACACATTTGCAAGCCAGTAGCTAAAACTAACTCTGCAGTCTGTAAGTACAGGACAGAATATTCCCAAGCGTGAAGCCACTGAACTTGCAAATAAATAAGCAGTACCCAGAAACTTGAGTTTCATGTGAAAAATTCAGTCTGTGGCAACCTTAATGAAAAAAAAAAAAAAAAAAACTGCCACCTCTTAGGCACAATAAAGAGGGGGCTCCAAAACCTTTGAAATCAGGGGGCTTCCCTTGTCCCATTTCGCATGACATTATTTTAAAATTGGTCCAAACAATTTTCCACAGTGATTTTAAGAGACAAGTAGAGAAACAATTGGTTAGTCACATAGTTCTTAAGCTCCATAATCACACGCAGGAATACCGATGATATCCAGTCCACACATACGTCACAGGAAGTAAACTTCCTCAAACAAGAAGCCACGGTGTACTCACAGGCTCGGTTCCGGGTTTTGTAGGTGCAGGTGTAGAGGCTGCAGGGCCGTCTCTGCACTGGCCTGGGAATCTGGATACTTCGCCACGGCTTGGTGTGAGGAAACACTTGACAAAGGAGTCGCAGGCCATTCATCAGGACCATCTTTAGCTTGAAATCTTGATCAGTTTCCAAGTAACTTGCAAGAACCTAACACACCCTAGTGCCAGGAGGGCAGAGGAGGAAAAGCCAAAAACAGTAGAGACTTAAGATCATGTGGCCACCCTTAAGTAGGACAATGACATTCAGACTACTGGAACACACCCCAGGGAGCAAGGGAGGGCACCCCAAAGGAGGAGGGAGGGTGCCCCAAAGGAGAGTTGATCAGCTATCCACTCTTACTCCTCAAACTCATTGGTCACCTCGGAGGAGGGCAGGGCCGGAAGGACTGAGTCACTCTCTGCCTTTCCCTCAGGGCTGGCAAATATTAGAGGCCCAGGGAAATGCTTCTCTTTACGCACGCACGGGAATGAAAAGACCGTGTAGAACACAGTTTCTTAAAGTTTTTTAAAAATGGGCTTCCGGAAATTCCCCTTAATTGTCTTGCCTGTACCAAGAAACCAAAATGAAGCTCCCTCCAGGCAGTCTGAGTAAAAACAATCTAGGACCTTCTAGATTGCATTGAAAAAAAAAAAAAAAAAGATACATCCTGCCAAAATGGTTGTGGGTGGGTCTGGAAGCCGAGCTTAAATATCATCTGTGACTCTTGGCCAGCTTTAGTTTACATGTCCCTCAAACATGGGAAACTGGAGTAGGTAATCCTCGCTTAACTTCCAGGTAGATAGATGCACTGTGAGCACACACTCTGACTTCACTTAGACACCTGCACCTCACATAGTTCACGGGGAGTCTCAGCACACTTGCACCACCAGCACCCACTGCTGTGTTCTGAAATCGAGGTCATGGCAACTGGGCCACAGTTGCTCCATCACCCCTACCCCACTATTGCTACATCCATTTATCCTGGAAACTGTCTGTGGACCATTTCAACAAATAAGTTTAGAAATGAAATCATTTTTTTCTTGATTACACATCACTGCAACTCTAGGTTATCAAAGGGTTCAGGGTGATTGCTAGGGATGAAGTCAGACAGCTGGTTGGGAACACCGTTTGAGCAACCAGGAGCACGCACGGCCACAGGGTCATGTGACCTGGCCCTGCTGGGCTCCCAGCCTCCTGTCCAGGTCCCTGCTCTGCCCTCTCTCTCATCAGCCACATGGACTTCACTTCTTCCAAGTCCCAAAGCTCCCCCAGGCTCAGGGCTCATGCACAAGTGCTTCCTTCCCTGGGC